AGCTTAGTATCCTGGGCACTAAGTCGAACGAGTACAAAAGTATACTCACGATAACTTGGGTCACTACAGCATGTTGTAATAACACTCTTCTAATGTGTCAGGAAAGGTTGAACCCAAAAACTCTGCACCATTCATCTTAGAAGCTTTCAGCTGAATGACTGTGTTTTCTTCTACAGTTTTATCTAAATTACACGTATCATAGTCATCTTGGCTTTCAACTGATAACACTAACAACGCAAAGACGAAGAAAATCTTGGATGTGACCGGCTTCATATTCTTTTATTGATGTAATATTAATTAATCAAGCTGCAAGTAGAAAAGAAATTGACTGTTAAATGATAAAATATCATCAGATTTAATTAATCTTTGATTGTCTGAATTTCTGATCCAAATCAACATTTCTGGAAATGAACTCTAATTTTGAAGCCAATAGACAAAATGTGTGTCAATTTTCAGTTTTGACTAACAAAATTTTGGCTATTTTTATCAGGACAAAATTTTCTTCAGAACAAAAATGCAGACTATAAACGGGACTATTTTGTGAATTTGTGATGAAAAGAGGGAACAGGTGGTGAAAAGGTTAACCCAAGTCCTGATGCCTTGATTTCCTCACTAACATGCCAAGTACAAATGTTGTGAAAGAATTTCCAGTCAAAATAAAATAATATGTCATTTTTTCCCTGCTTTCATTATTAGGAGTTAATGCCAAAGGGATACCAACAATAAAAACAAAAATAAAAAGGACAATTTTTAAAAGTCTGAAATATGAAGGAAAATTTTTGTACTGGTTAAATTATTTCTTCATATCTAGGAATTTTGCTCAGTAACAGAAGATGAAAAGTAATATGGTATTATTGATATGAATCCTACTATTGTTAAAAAATATTGTCAAACAAAGAACATTTCATAGCAAGTTTCAAATTTTCCAAATATACAATTGAAAGTTCTCTCCCATAATGCATTGCATATATAAAGTGCAGAAACATGCTTAGTAGAGCAAAATTTAGCTTGAAGAGCCCGGGTGATCAGCCTTAAAGGACGAGGCAATATGAAATAGTGAAAGTGAATAATTTTACAGTAGGTTTAAATTTATGAAGGCTTGCAAAAGTTAACTACATTCTGAGGGTAACTCAACATTTAGCTACCTTATCTCCATCAATGTATATTGTGTATAAATTGTCAGTAAAAAATAAGCTGAAATTTTCATCAATGACACCCACTTTATGAAAAGGCAAAGCCAGATGATAGCCAGCGAGGTAGTCAAGTTATACTCAGAATTTACTAAGTTTACTATTAAAACTTTTATTACCCTTTATTTAAAAAAACACACAGTTGAAAATGTTTGACTTTTTTCACATGATGAACAATATAGTATGGTTACGTCAGTTCTTTGGTAGTAAGCTCTTGTAACAGACATTATTTCAATGCTATAGTGTTTTAGACTAATTAAACAACATATTTGTCTATTTTTAAGGTCACTTAGACAGTGAGATAGAGAATCCAAAGATTTATCACATACTTAGAATACCCATGGTATATTGCGACTCAATGAATTTTTAAAGATGATTGGTAACAAGAGAACAGTTATTTAAGATGGTGACCATCGCCAAGGTTGAGATGAATTTCATTAATGGTCAATATCAGTGATTGTTTTTGACTCTAAACATCAAATCAGTTAAAGGTATGTATAATTACTGCCGAAATATAGACATTTGTACTATCAAGAAAATATTTGCCAATCTAATGTTCGAAAAATGACCTCTTGATACAAAGGATGTCTCATATGCCCAGTATGCCCTCTAAGAAGTCTGATTTTGTAGGGATCCTAAGTTGAATTGAAGTCTCCAAAAATGGGGTCAGCTTGTTGACTGCTGGGGAGAGTCTTCAAGAAAAAAATAAAGATTGTACATGACTGCACTGGTTATACAAACAAAAATGTAGTAGCCGCTGATGTTCTTTATTTTTACATTATTTTTGTATTTAATAAAAAGTGAATTTCATTTTATCAAATTCTATAACTATACTGAGATATACTGAAGTTTAAAAATTCAAAATATCAACAGACAATTTTCTGTTGTGTCAATGATGCGCCTACCCAGTGAGAACTGACACTAGTTGCGTCACTGCAAATCTCTGTACATCAGTGCCTCATCATATCAGCTTAGAGACGCACTGCTATACACATACAATGAGTCAGTGTATAAATAGACAATTTAAATATCACACAGATCTCACGTGATGGTTGAAATGTCAATAACCACCTGTCACACCAACCATATAATAAACCATATGCTAATCTCTTGTTGGCAACAACAAATATTTTATAGTTTACAAGTCCCTTATTAACCCTTTATTTCAGCTGACTAGATTAGAATAATTTTCTAACAACAGAGATATAACACAACTATATTCATTAACTTCCAAAACCACAGTGATCATCACACATTGTATGTCTTAATTACATATAAACAAATCATGCACTATGACCGCCAACTTTTAAGTTATAGCAACTACAACTGTTCTATGATTTAATAACATTTTACAAAAGCAACCAACTAGCTGCCTTAAATCTCTGTTCTATCAATTTTTAAATCCACTTAATACAGAAGCATGATAACTTTTGTGGCACTAAATGAACACATACAGTGTTAGTGTCTGAGGATTCTGTGTTATGCATCACATAAGCAGAAACTACTAGTAGACAGCTGGGAAGAATAAAATTTGTATCTATACATACCGGTACATGTCAGAGGCCACCTTCTCATATAAAA